CATATTTCTAATTTTCAAAAAATCTTTTTCATTTTCTAGATGTTCCTGCTTTTATAGATTCCTGTTTTTCCACAGATTCAGTTTTTCACAGATTCAGTTTCTCTTCTTATTTTGCAAAGATTAACATTCAGGCTTATTTAAATGTTAAATGTTATTCTATGTTATGCATTTTCAAAAGTTTTATTTTGCTCCCTGTGTCCTCAGGGTTTTTTTCAAAACAATACTATTTTGGTTCTGCCTTTCCATTTTTAAGGCTTTCTTCAACTGCTTAATGATTTTAGGCTTTTGGCTCATATTTCGTATTCAAGACTGTGACAGCCGGCCTGGTGCGGTGGTTCACGCCTGTAATCCCAGTACTTTGGGAGGCTGAGGTGGGCAGATCACCTGACGTCAGGAGTTTGAGACCAGCCTGACTGGCATGGCGAAACCCTGTCTCTACTAAAAATACAAAAATTAGCTGGGCGTGGTGGCCAGTAATCCCAGCTACTTTGGAGGCTGAGGCAGGAGAATCGCTTGAACCTGGGAGGCGGAGGTTGCAGTGGAGTGCACCATTGCACTCCAGCCTGCGCGACAAGAGTGAAACCCTGTATCAAAAAAACAAAAAACAAGCAAACAAAAAACCTGAGACAGCCAAAAGCTATTTGGACATACTATGATTGTCAGGGCTGGTTAATTGGTGGGTTTCACCGTAGGGCAGTCTGGCTGAACTCTGACTGGGTGCTCAGAATGGAGTCCTTTAAAAGCATGGCTACCAGTGTTCTTGAAGCAGACCAGAAGACTGACAAGGGATCCATGAGGAAGTGTGGCCTTAGCTTCTTGCTTTTGGTATTGCCACCTCTCTCCTAGATGTGTTGGTACTCTAAGCCCAATGGTGTCTCCCTACTAGTAAACATCTAGACTTCCGGGATGTGAGGAAGAGGCATGGATGGGGGAGGGATCTGGGCTTACAACTGTTCCTTTTAGATATCTTCAACTAATTCTTTTTTTTTTTTTTTTTTCCCTTTTTTTAAGAGACTAGACTCTAGTGTGTTGCTCAAAATCTCAAATTCTTGCACTCAAGTGATCCTCCCTCTTCAGCTTCCTGAGCAGTTGGGGACTACAGGCATGTGTCATCATGCTCAACGTAGTTCTTTTGTTTTTAGGTCAACTGTATCTCTACTTTCAGAAGTGCCTGGTGCCTCCAATTCCTGCAGTCTTTTGAGGCTTTGCTTGAATTAACCTTCTTCTAAGTTGTTCCATTCCAGCTTAATTTTCACCATACTCTGGTCCATTAGGTTAATGACCACTCTTTCATCTGCTTTCCATCTTATATTAATGTATTATTGTCATCTCTTCTCTCGTTAACTCTGGGCTTGTGAGGCTGTCTTTTAAAAACCCATTTACATTCCTTTTAGTGTGATTTTCCAACAGCATGATCATAATTATATATGTTCAATCCACCATTTCTAATGAGCACTTCTGTCCTCAATTTTCTTGATTCTGCTGCTGTCTTTGTAACTCTAGACTACTCATTCTAGAAATGTTATTATCCTTTGGCTTCTGTGGCCACAGTATTTTTTTTTCTCTTGAGGTATCATCTCATTTCTTTCCTAGGTTCTTTCTTCTTCCACTCTGTATCCCTTAAATGTTGTTGTTCCCCAGGTCTCTGTCCTAAGTCCTTTTATGTTTTCATTTACACATTTGCCATAGACAATAACATCCACTTGCTTGGATTTAATCACTTCCTTAATAATGTTGACTCGAAAATCTATGTCTGTGGCTCCAGATTCACATAAAGGTCAGAAACCGGATAGAGGAAAACAGGACCCTGTCTCTCTATATCCTAATCAGGTCAAACAAACATCCTAGTGCCAAAATCGGTCCTCCTTTTAGGTAAAGGAAATAGCAGTAATGGAGGAAGGCATTCAACTTTATAAAAACAACAAACAGAGCCAAGGAAGAGCTGCATCACATATGTGAAGTTTTGTCTTGTTTTCGAGATGGAGTCTTGCTCTGTCACCCAGGCTGGAGTGCAGTGACATGATCTTGGCTCACTGCAACCACTGCCTCTTGGGTTCAAGCAATACTCATATCTCACCCTCCCAAGTAGCTGCAATTATAGATGCATACCATCACACCGGGCTGCTTTTTTTTGTATTTTTAGTAGAGACAGGGTTTAACCATGTTGCCCAGGCTGGTCCCAAACTCCTGAGCTCAGGCAGTCCGCCTGCCTTGGCCTCCCAAAGTGTTAGGATTACAGGTGGGAGCCACCGTGCCCAGCCTCATATGTGAGGGTTTTTTTGTTTGTTTGTTTTGTTTTGTTTTATATTTTATTTATTTATTTATTTATTTATTTATTTATTTATTTATTTGTATTTTTAGTAGAGATAGGGTTTCACCTTGTTGGCCAGGCTGGTCTCGAACTCCTGACCTCAGGTGATCCACCTTCCTTGGCCTCCCAAAGTGCTGGGATTACAGGTGTGAGCCACCATGCCGGGCATATGTGAGGTTTTGATGCAGTAAGAACCAATCCCCAAATCACACTGACAACACACAAGAGTTTATTTCTCTGACATGAGAAGTCTGCTGTGGGTTGAGAAAAATCCCCAGGAAAGCTGTCATATATTGGCTCACTATTCCAAGTCTCAACAATTTCATGGAACATCAATTTTGGCACAGGTTGCGAATCTCACCACGGTCGAGATGAGAGAGCTGCATAGTTGAGCACAGACATTCAGAAATGAAATATGTCAGGTCTCTATTCGTTGTCCAAAGTAAGCCACAAGATCACCTCTAACTTCAAGGGGTCAAGGAAGAACAGTTCCCTTGGATCCTGAGAATTGGACACTATTGAATAGCAATAATCCATAACATTTAAAATACTAGACCTTAAACAGATAATTTGGCTTTAAACAAAGTATCTTTCTATTTGTATGCTCCTAGCACCTAGCGTGATAGCTAGTACAGAGTGGGTGTCAATGTGTTGAATTGAGATATGTTTTAGAAGATGATTTGATAGGTATCTTGGAAAAGGTGTTCAGCATATCTGTATCGACACCTTATTTTCCCTTCAACACAAACAGGAACATTGAACGTCTTTCAAACATTGACCTTTCTGCTGGGCTCAAAAGATGGAGCCATTTTTCAAAAATAGTTCTTGCAACATTTCTCAAAAGGAGGCCTACAAATGGCAAACAGGCATATGAAAAGGTTCAACATCACTGATCATCAGAGAATTGCAAATCAAAAGTACAATGAGATACCATCTTGTTCTAGTTAAAATGGCTTATATCCAAAAGACAGGCAATAACAAGTGCTGGCAAGGATATGGAGAAAAGGGAACCCTTGTACACTATTGGTGGGAATGGAAATTAGTACAACCACTATGAAGAAAAATTTAGAGGTTTCTCAAGAAACTAAAAGTAGAGCTACCATATGATCCAGCAATCCCATTGCTGGGTATATAAGCAAAAGAAAGGAAATCAGTATATCGAAAAGATATCTGCATTCCCATGTGTATTGCAGCATTATTCACAATAGCCAAGATTTGGAAGCAACCTATGTGCTATCAATAGATGAATGGATAAAGAAAATGTGGTACTTATACACAATGGAGTACTATTCAGCCATAAAAAAGAATGAGATCATGTCATTTGCAATAATGGAACTAGAGGTCATTATGTTATCAACATAATGTGAGAATAACCAGGCACAAAAAGACAATCATTGCACATTCTCACTTATTTGTGGGATCTAAAAATCAAACAACTGAAATCATAGACATAGAGAGTAGAAGGATGGTTACCAGACACTGGAAAGGGGTAGTGTGGGTGTGTGTAGGGGAGGCAGTGATGGTTAATGGGTACAAAAAAATAGTTGAAAAGAATGAACAAGACCTAATATTTGATAACAAAACAGAGTGACTATAGCCAATAATAATTTAATTGTACATTTAAAAATAAATAAAAGAGTATAATCAGATCATTTATAACACAAAGGATAAATGCTTGAAGGGACTCACACCCCATTTTCCATGACGTGATAATTACGCATGGCACGCCTGTTTCAAAACATCTCGTGTATCCCATAAATATATGCACCTGCTATGTACCCACAAAAATTAAAAATTAAAAAAATAGTTATTGCAGCATCTAAATATTTCAAAGCCTCGCTAAGAATTTGACTTTAAAGTTTGAAGAGAGGGCGTTTTATAGCCTCTCTTATATTTACTTCAATCAAAACCCTTCTCCAACCTCAAAGGCAAAGGTCAGCATGGAAGGGGAAAAAGTTACAAAATATTGCCTCAAAGAGTCAGGTAGTTGTTTGTGTGTTTGTGCCTGTATGTGCATGTGTATGTGTGTGTGTGTGTGTCTCTCTGTGTATTTGTGCATATATGCACTTTTTATGTTGGGTGTGGAACAAAGACTTGTTGCATATAGGTGCGTTACTGTAGGTGTTGCATATAAATGTGATATTATAGGTAGATAAACATGAGCCTCATAGAGTATGAAATAAAGCACAGAAGTTTTGAGTTTCCAGTTGACAGCCCCTTTCTTATATTTTTCATCCTGTTTTCATGAAATAATATGTCTTGCCCTGTGCTTGACATTTTTTAGCATGTAGATGAAATCTTTTCTTTTTTTTTTTCACACAGTCTCACGCTGTTGCCCAGGCTGGAGTGCAGTGGTATGATCTTGGCTCACTGCAACCTTTGCCTCCCAGGCTCAAGCAATTCTCCTGTCTCAGCCTCCCAAGTAGCTGGGATTACAGGCACCTGCCACCATGCCCAGCTAATTTTTGTATTTTAGTAGAGGAGTTTCACCATGTTGGTCAGGCTCGTCTCGAAATCCTGACCTTAAGTGATCCACCCGCCTCGGCCTTCCAAAGTGTTGGGATTACAGGCGTGAGCCACCACATCCAGTCTAGATTAAATCTTTAGAAATGAAGTGCCCCAGTGGTGATGATGAAAAGCTGTATTGAAAGAATGGTGTAGAGGAGTACAAAGGACTCAAAAGAGGAAATTGTCTGTTTGAGATTTATTTAGGATTTCTCAGGTATTTTATACCAAAAGAATTCCATAGTTACTTGCTTTGTTTTTGTTTAAATTGTATATGCTTATCATAAACAATTCAAGCAAGAGAGACAAATGCAAAGGAGAAAGTTACAAAAATCACCCAAGTTTCCAACAACAAAAATGACCAATCTTACATTAGGTGAACATCATTTCAGGCCATAAACCTCACCATTCTCCAGTTTTCCTCCTACCTTGTTGCCTCCTGTGTCTCTTACAAGCTCTCATCCATGAGGAGTCCCAGAGTCAGGACCAGACTCTCTGCTCATCTCTATCTTTATCCCAATGGCAACCTGATCAGCTTATAGCTTTAAGTGATACCTGGATGTTGATGACTCCCAAATTTACACATCCAAACTTCTTCCTTTGAAACCTGTACAGCTAGAATGCAAGGGGTTGTTGAGTGAAGGAAAACTGAGAAAACAGAGATCCTAGTTGTGTTCTCTTTCTTTTAGCTTTAAAGTTGAATTAGTCTCTGACACTTCTAAGTATATGGTCTACTGCTAACACTAGTTTTTAAATCTTGAGGCTTTTTAATACTACCTGTCATTTGTTGAACATCTACTACATGTTAGGTACTGTGTCTTTCTTTTTCAAAACATACATTGTCTCATTTTACCTGCATGATTCTGTGAGGTAGATTTTCATAAAAATCAAACCAAAACCAAAACCAAAAAACAAAGGCTTAGAGTGATAAGCAACATGTCCAAATTGATACAGCTAGCAGGCGTTGGGATTTGAGCTCAGGGGATCAATCCTCTTTCTGATATGCTATATCTATTTGTATTTCAATGTGAATTTTCACATCAGTTTGACAGTTTCCATACATGCACATATAGACACACAAACCCAGCTGGGATTTTGATTGGGATCACACTGAATTCATAGATTAATTTGGTGTGATGATTAATTTTATGTGTCAACTTGACTGGGCCAAGGGATGCCCAGGTAACTCGTAAAATATTCTTTCTGGGTATGTTGGCAAGGGTATTTCTGGAGGAGATCAGCATCTGAACGGGTAGGCTGAGTAAAGAAGATCACATTCACCAATGTGGGTGGGCATCATCTAATACACAGAGGCTGAAATAGAAGAAAAAGGCAGAAGAAGGGTAAAAATACTATCTCTGCCTGAGCCGAGGCATCTGTCTCCTCCAGCCCTTGGACATTGGTGCTCCTGGTTCTCAGGCCTTCAGACTTGGACTGGGACTTACACTTGTGACCCCCTGGTTCTCAGGCTATCAGACTTGGACTAAATTATACCACCAGCTTTCCTGGGCCTTGAGCTTGCAGACAGCAGATAATGAAACTTCTCAGCCTCCATAACCATACCAGCTGACTCCTCATGATTAATCTCTTTCTGCATATATTTCTATATCCTATTGGTTGTGTTTCTCTGGAGAACCCTGACAAATGCATTTAGGGAGAACCAACATCTTATACTACTGAGTTTTTCAATCTTGAATTGGTATTTCCCTCCACTTATTTAAGTCTTCTTTAATTTTTCTAATAAGACTTTGTGGTTTCCATTGTGAAGAAACAATTTATTCACCACCACTATGGTGGGGGCAGAGGCCTTCCAGGGGTCAGGAAACTAAGGCAGGAACTTGATGGATGTGAAATGCAATGTGGAAATTGCAAAAATATGGGCAGAAGAAATGGTTAAAGGTTCTACCAGGTAAAGCAACAATTTCAAGAATTTTAAAGCAGAATAGCTGAGTGTATAAAGTTTCATCAATGGCAGGCAGCAAACAGCTGTGTGTCCTGCTAGCAACAGAGGAGCCAGGAGCTCTGGAGTGTATTTATATGATGCAGCTTGCCATGAACTGATGATTCAGCAGCAATTTTTCATGAGGAGGAAACTGTGATTGTTAACTGAGGTATGATGGCTGTCCTCTTTAAAAGCGAAGAACAGGCTGGGCTGAAGCCAGGCCAAATTGGCCTTCTGGGCCTTCCTTCTGTCTTCCATTTCCGTAACCCCCTCCAGCCAGCTAGCATTTCCTCTTCAGCACCATCATATTTCCTCGGAACTTCCCCTTTGCCACCTGCATGTAGGCCTACTCTATCCTATACCTCTCCACAGCCCCATAAACGATCCCCAAATCATCTCCCTCCCTAGCTCCTTCATTCATTCATATTTAGGATATTCAGCTGTTCAGAAAAGGAAGTGGTTAGGGGATCCAGTTAATACACATCCATGTATTAAATGACAGATAGCTAGGTGGGCATTTCTCAAATGAGGGTCCAAAGACATAATCCTAGAGATTTGAGAGGTCTATGGGCATTTCGATAATAGCTAGTATTTATTGCATGCTTGTCATGTATCAGATGCTGTTTGAAATGCTTTATATGTATTAATTTGGTTTCACTACAACATTACAAAGCAGATGTCCTTATCCCTATTTAACAGGTGAGCAAACTGAACATGTTCTTCTTCCCATTAAACAGATGGGCAACCACAGAAAGGTTGATCAGCTCAAGGTTACACACCTAATAAATGACAGTATAAAGACTCAAATCCAGGCAGTCTGGGTCTACAGCTAGTGCTTTCGACCCCAATGCTGCCATCTGGGGCTCAATTGGGCCTGGATGGTCCAAGACGGTGTCATGCATGTCTGGCAGTTAGCTGGGGCTGTTGGCTGGGGCCTCCTCCTCCATTTGGTCTTTCCAGCAGGATATGTCAGACTTCTTTATGCAGCAGCTGGATTCCAAAAGGTAAATGTCTTCGAGGCAATTTTCCCATGTGGAAAATTACCTTGATGCAATGGCAGCCTCCATGTATACACCTACAGGTCATGAAACAGATAGGCTTATAGGCCAAATTAAGAAGCTTAAATCACATTGTTTATCTGGCGGTTCTAAAACATATCCTCAAACGTTTTGACATTACTCCTATTAAGATGTAGGGTCTATATCCCTTCCCTTGAATGTGGGCTGGCCCTAGGGGTTGGCCTGTAGCCAGCAGAATACAGTGGAAGTGATACTGTGACTTCCAAGGATAGGTCAGAAAAGGCCACAAGCCTGGTTCTTTTCAGACATTCACTCTGGGAAAGCCAGCTGCCTGGTGAGAAGTTCACCAAGCTGGAGTGGCTGTGTGAAGGTGCTCTGCTTCTCAGCCCCATTTGAGCTAGCAGCCAGCCACGTGAGTGAGCCATCTTAGCTATTAAGCCCAGCTGAACTTTCAAATGACAGCAGTTGTGTTGAAATCTGATTGATAACTACATAAACGACTCCAATAAAACAACTGTCCAAGTAAGTTCTTCCCAAATTTCTGAGCCTCAAAATTAACAGCAAAATAAATTGGCTACTTAAACTACTAAGTTTTGGCATAAATGTGTTTACCCAAAGAGCAGCAGTAATAACCAGAAGAGTTTACCAACCAACATAAAACAGAGTGAGAAGCAAGGGGAAAGAGGGTATATTAATAAGCTTAGGATAGGCTGAAGGACCACAGCACCTAAATTCTGTTTTATGCATTGTTCTCATGTCTTATCCCTCTCCACCATCCAGTCTTCTCAGCACATAGTGTGGTTACAAGGACCAGATTGGAGAGTAAGTAAGGTGACTCAGCAGACTGAAGGGGCCTGGGTTCGACATACACTGTTCTGTTAGAGAGCTGAGGGGCAAGTGTGTCTGGTTATAATGGTAACTGGCATTAGTTGGCTTTGTAGCTAGGGGTTTATCTGCTTTTCTTGGGCAGAGATTACATGAGGCCATAATAGCGCCACAATGGGTGTTACCAGTAGGTGTGCAATTTAGGGATGACATGGCTGTCAATCTGAAGGTAGTATGTTCTGTACCTTATTAATACTTAAAAGTCCACTTTGTCTTTCTGCCTCTATCTAAAGCAGCATTTTCATTTGTTTCATCCTTTTTATCTACGTTCAACACATATCCGTTCATTCTATGTGTAACATTGCTCATAAGTGACTTGCTTCTACATTTTAGTTTCTCTTGTTTTATAACAGAATTAAATATTCTATAATAATATAACAAAAGCATTACAACAACCCCCAATGAGCAAACATGTGTCATATCAGGTTTATGATGTCTTCCTATTTATTGACCAAAACAAGTCAAATAGTCAAGCCCACAGTCAATGTAGAGGTGGACTACACAACGGAGTGGATAACAGAAGGTGTAATTCATTGGGGATCACTACTGTAACAATCTAATACTAACACATAGCTAGGAGATGGCTGATCCAGGGATCAAACTTTCCACAGTCTGTCTCTGGAGTCTACACACTAAACTGCTATTCTGGAGGTGGTTGGGAACGGGTTCTTACTGAAGAGCTTCCTACAAACCTCGCTTCCTAGGCCCCGCCCCAGTGAATCAGAATATCTTGGGGGTAGGGAAATTGTGGGGGATGGGGGGTTTCCTCCCATGAGCCTGAGACTGAAATAAGTCTGCAAAGGATTCCAGTGCACACTGGGGAACGAAGGGGATTTCAAAGACAAAGAAGATATACTTTCTGCACTCAAAAAGCTTTCATTTCCACAGAGAGTATTCTTAATTATTGTTATTACATCACAGAGGCATCACCTTGGAATTTTAAAAAAGAAGCGATTGCTTTCCATGTTTAAGTGACATCAGTGGTTCTCAAGCTTTCGTGTGTGTTATTAACTGGAGGGCTTGTAAAAACCCACATGACTGGGTCCAATGCCTACGTTCTGATTCAGGAGGTGTGAAGTGGGGTCCACTATTTCTCATGTCTAAGAAGCTCAGGGACACACTTTGAGAACCAGAGTTAGAGAAGTAGGAGGCTTTAGTGGTAACAATCCTCCATTATTCAGCTTAATATTCTACTTACACGTAGCACATTTACTACATACAAGTTTCTGGGCTGAGTGCAGCACTGTTTATGATAAGGATGGGATTTAGATCTTGTTTACGCTTGAGCAGATTTATTAAGTGGATTTATTCTCTAAGGGTGCCTAAGCGTCATTAGACAGGTTCAGATAAAGCAGAGATCTCCTCCCTTAGGAATAGATTACCGACAGCTTAATGAAGTAGGAGACCTTTCACCTGGGCCTTGAAAGATGCCTAGGACTTGGACCAGGGGAAATCGTGGACAATCAAAGAATTCTTCCCGCTTTAGCACGGAGACAAAAAAATCACAAGCAACCGCTAGGAAAGGTCTATGACATTCTTGCCTCCGCCTCTAGCATTAACAATTTGCACGCCAGCTTCTGGAATCTGAACGCGGAGGACTGTTCTCGTGTCAAGGGTTCAGTGTCAGACCCTCCTTGGGCAGGGGTGGAACTGGCCTCGCTCTCTCTTTGGGGCGCCCAGAGCGGGTGCATCAGAGCCGGCCTGCTCGGCCGAAGCGGTGGTGGGCGCTGACTTGGCAAAGGGCGCAGCTGGGGCGCTTCGTTCCGGAGCAGAGCGCCGTGACCCCGCCGGGGCTGGGGCGGCAGCGCAGTTCTCCGCCTGGCCAGAGCAGGGCCGCATGCCGGCTCACCTTTCAGAACGAGCTCCAGATGTGGGCTTGGCCCCAGGTTGGGGGCCGGGTGGCAGCTGTACTACCCTGGCGGGCGAAGGGTCCAGAGCTCTTTTTCCCTATTCCGACCTGTAGATTTAACGCCAGCACAGGGCGGCGCAACCTACCTCCTTCCACCTTCACGCACCAGCCAGGAGGGGACGCGTGTGCGCGCTCCTCCCCTAGGCGGGAGCGCGGCCCAAGCGCCTGCAGACTGCGCCTGCGTAGCCCCGCTCACACCCACCGCCCCCCCCCCCGCACCTCCTTCCCCCCTCGCCCCGCCCTGTTCCCACTTCTGCTGCCGCTAGGGGTAGCGGCGGCTGCTGCTTCCCGGGAGCGTGGTTTCTTTGAGGGCTCGGGAACCCTACAGCGTGGGGACGTGGGGAGGCTAGAGGGTGAGAAAGCCGGCGGGAGAGGAGGGCGGCGCTGGAGGAGGGCGGCGCGTGGCTGACTCATCCCTCTTGAAGATCAGACTGGCAGAGACACACACTCGCCCGCCCCGCCCGCCCGCGCCGCTCCACCTTAGCCGGGAGGCGCCCGCCCGCACCGCCCGCCCGCCCTCTGCGGGCGCTGTCCGGGCCCGGCCGTCTCAGAGAAAGTTTTTCCCATCGGAGGGGCCGGAGCCGCAGCGGGCCTTTTGGAAGGGAAGGGGGACGGAACAGGAGGCGAGAGCCGCTCGGGCCCGCGGAGTGCATGGTGCCCGGCGCCTCGGCTGCCTGGCAGGAGGACCTCGGGGCGGGGTCGAGCTGAGCCCAGCTCCTTCTTCTCCCCTCAGCCGCCCCAGAAACTGCCCTCTCGGACGGCCGCGGGGGTTCCCGCTCCTCAGCTCGCCATGTCTCGGCTGCTGCCGCTGCTGAGGAGCCGGACCGCGCGCAGCCTGAGGCCGGGCCCGGCCGCTGCCGCCGCCGCCGCCGCCGCTGCCGCCGCCGCGCCCCGCCCGCCGTCCTGGTGCTGCTGCGGGCGGGGGCTGCTGGGGCTCGCGTCCCCCGGAGGCTTCCCGGGCGGCCCCCGGCGGCTGGGCACGCACCCCAAGAAGGAGCCCATGGAGGCGTTGAACACGGCGCAGGGCGCGCGCGATTTCATCTACAGCCTGCACTCCACGGAGAGGAGCTGCCTGCTCAAAGAGCTGCACCGCTTCGAGTCCATTGCCATTGCCCAAGGTAAGGGGGGTCCGGTGGTGGGGAGCCCGGAGACTCCGGCGCCCTCCTCTTCCCGCCAGCCTACCTGGAGCCCTCCGCGGCTCAGGATCTTGGACCCCCGCTGCCGCCCCCCTTCCGCCCCCCTCGCTTGTCTGGCCCCATGCCTGGGACGGCTAGGGGCGGGGAGACTTTCCGCCTCCCGAATTTCCCCTAGGCAGGTAGGACGGGCGCGGGTCGTGCCAGGCAGCCGAGGCCAGCGCCTGGCTACTTCCTCCCCAGCCTCAGAGTCCGGAGCTTCGGCCTAAAATGCCAGTTAACACCGTTGGGATTGTGTTTTGATTTGCCCTGTGCCTCCCCTCCCCAACCCTCCTGTCCCTTAGCCCTTGCTGCTTTCTTGCGAGCGTGCACCTGCATGCTGTGCCTGCTCCCAGAAAGTGCTACAAACCCGCCTGGCAGGAAGAAACTTTTTGAACGGTGGTTATCAAATGAAGATGTATGGGTGGGTAGCCAAAAGAAGGCGTGTAGCTTCAAAAGTCAGGGATGCTCTCAGCTGCTTGTTTCCGCACACCTCTGGTTGCGTTAATTTCAGCAGCCAAAGGAAACATTTTCCCCAGAAATGGAAAGATAGATTCAAGTTAAACTCCAGCTTTGGTTTTTCCCAGGGGTTGAAAGAATGAAATAAGGAGGTGTGTTTTTTTGGAAATCTGCGGCTCTGCAGTAGAAGTCAGACTTGTGCTCAAAAATAATTTGGAACGATGAAAGCAAAACAATTTTTAAGCTGGCATGTTAAAATAGGGTATTTCTAAAAGAAGTCCAGAATGGGGTAGGTCAGAATTTGAGTCTAGGTGAAAAGGCTAAAAGTTCAGAAAATAAAAAGGATGAAAGGAGCAGACGACTAAAGTGGATGTCTTAAAATAATTTCTGCCGCTTAAATACAGTTATGTAAACAAAACACATTGCTTCAGTTTGTATTACATTCTGATGTGTTTGAAAGTTTTAAAAAAGTTTACTTCCCCCTCTAAACTTGGTAGGTACATAAACATCTCATAGATTCCAAAGTGTAGAGCACATTGATTTAGATCCTGGCATTTGATTTGCCAGACTTGAAAGTATATCTTTAGCTGATGTGCAGGAATGGAGGAAAGAATTATCTACCTCATGTAAGCATGACGTTATCTGTACTACTTCAGAAACTTGTTTTAATTGTGGGTTTTAATCACATTTTTTTCCCCTCGGTTCAGGGAATTGTGGACCAATTTACAGTGGTCGATTGATTCCAGACATTGTTTACCCAGAGTGCTTTTACAGGAAAATGTAACATCCAATTAATTCCATTATTCTATATGTAATCATGATGTTATATGGAATCATAAACACTAGCACATTTGTAATCTATGTGTGCACTCAGTATGCAGTTCAAAAATAGTCAATTCTGAAAATATGCTCCTTGGAAAATCATAGTCGGTCATGTACTAGAACATTAACTTTTGAACCTTTCTCCACTGACACGACTGTTAGAACACACATTTTACCTTTTCCAAGTAATTTCTTGGAAATTCTACATTGTCAACAAGTTACAAGATTGGAAGGCCCTATGAGTATAGTTTCATGGCAGTTCTTGAAAATCATGTCCTGCAAGGTGACTGAATAATTTTTTTCTCATACATTATTATTTTTGTACATGCCAGCAGTATTGCAGTAGCAATGCTACATTTCCTAATAAAGATAATATTTTTAAATTTAACATGGTTTTAAGTATTCTGAAAAGGACCTAAACACTTTAGTCAATGGAGATCGTTAGCATCAGTTAAAGTTAGTTATGTTACTAATATGAGAGAGAAATTAGTAATTTAAATTGTTTTCTTTGCTCAGGAGAAACAGTCAATGATATTTGAAACAATGGTTAGTCAGATGCTTATCTCTCTTGTTTATAAGCTAAAGAACATCAAAGTTTAAATCAGCTATTTTTGCTGATGTTGATGACAAAATGATTGTCCTATGAATCAAATGACACAGATGCTGCTGCTTTGTTAGTATAGTCTTGGTGTTCACTTATTTTCAGTATCAATACATGGAGTTATTATGGAGATAACTAGGATCATCACTTAGGAAATTACCTTATTCATTAATCATTTAAGGTAAAAGGGATTTTATTATGTTGGGAATGCATACAGTTCATTCCATTGCTGAAATCAACATTTTTTTTTTCCAGTCAGATAAATGGAAAACTCCCATGTTTTCTTTTATTGTTGCTTTTCAAATAATGTTTTCAAGTACTCAACCAATGTATTAAATGTGTATGAACTAAGTGCACTTTCTAACAAAATTAATTCCATTAAAAGAGCTATTTCTTGCCATAGGAAATCTTATTTGTCTTTAGAAAGGGTGCTTGTATAAACTAATGAAGTGTTTTGGATTTGGTGTGGAAATGTTACTGAAAAAATATCATCCATGCTTTGATACGGCAGTGGAATGTGCTGTTGAAATTTGGCACATTTGCCCTTATCTTTCTTATATGTTTATCAGTAGGCATGTGATATAATCTGTGATGAGATAAAGCTTTGGAATCAGTTTGTAATAGATGAGGCAGACCTTGTGGGATGTCTTATCATAGTTAAATAGAATATTGTGATTTTTAAAATTACAAACTGATTTCTTCCCCAATTTTAAAAAAAGTTGAGGTTGTGCCTTGAATTTACCTGCTCAGCCTCATCGCTCTTCTTCCAGAAACAGACCATATTCTGCTGATAGAGCATTATTCATGTTTTTACAAGCAGTACTGGCAAGCTGACATTATTACAGTTGCCTTTCAATGTTAGCCAAAAATTTTAAAACAAATTTTCTTCCCAATTTTTGTAATTAATATTTCCATTTATAATTATTTTTAAAAGCTTTTAAAATATAGCAATTTGGTATTGAAAGATAGACAGTGCTTGTTGTATTAGTTATCCATTATGGTATAACAAATTATCCTAAAACACAGTGGCTTAAAACAAGCATGTATTAACTCCTAATTTCTGAGGCTCATGAATCCTATAGCATCTTAGTTGAGTATTTCTGGACCAGGATCTTACGAAGTTGAAATCAAGCTCTCAGCTGGGGTGGCATCATCTGAAGTCTTGACTGGGGCTGGAGGATCCATTTCCAAGAAGTCTCACTCACATAGCTGTTGACTGGATGTCTCAATTCCCTCCCATGTGGTCCTCCACAGGGCTGCCTGAGTAGTCTCATGACATGGCAGTGGGTTTCCTCTATAGCAAGTGATGACAGAGCGAGAGAGAGCGAGTGTGTTTGCAAGACAGCACCTGTGAGCACCTAAGCTGGAAGCCACAGACTTTTATAACGCAGTCTTAGAAGTGAGAGTCCATGTCTTTTGTCCTGACACATTGTGGGAGAGTACTACACAAGGTGTGAATACAAGGGAGTGGGAATCATTGAGGGTACATCTTTGAGGCTGGCTTCCACACTTTAAGGTGGTGTAATTAATGCTTATCAGAGAGTTCCACAGGGAGACAAGAACTGGTATTGGAGAGATACAATGAGAGATAATGTTTTGAAAAAAAGAGCCTCTTAGGGAATATTTTTGTTATAATATGTATACTTAAGATATTTAAAAAATGAGATTCTTTTTACATACAGCAAATAAAATATGTATTGTGGTGAACAGAGCAGTTTTTCTATCAATGTTATATCTTAATTAGCTTGCATTTTTTGGTTCCTCTATATGAGTGGTAATTGTGTGCTTTTGACATTTTTTACCATTTAGCTACATCTGTATACATTAACCAAATAATTCTAAACTTTAATCTTGTAGTCCCCCAGTTTTTGTGATTGTTTAAGGTAGGGTGAAGAGCTTTGTTTTGAGAACTTGCCATATAGCATAAGAGGACTTTGACAAAATGAAAGACTGGAAGATAAAGAGCTTATACTAAATTGAATATCTAGAACACTTAAAAATAAATTAGGATTTCTTATGGAATCCCTGTTCACTAGAGATCTTGGACCTTTAACAAGATTATCCTCATTTTTTTTCAGCCCATTGCTCAGGATTATGTGAG